TGAAAAACGTTTGGTAGCTATTAAAGCTACTGTATTGCTGTAACAAACATACAAACAGACAACTATAACAAATTAATAGCTCGAGAATGAGATAAAATATGTTGAAACCATCCATTAGTTGTTGCTTAGAGTTATGATGCTAGAAATAAATGTTATTGTCACAATCTAATTTGGAAATATAGTAAATGTTGGCTGTAAATGAAAGTAGCTACAAGCATACATAATTTTAAAAACAATCTAGATTCATACATTTATTAAATCTTCTTGAATGGGTGGTGTGTCCACAAAATACTTAGGATATTATTTAGAGAAAGGGAAGCGGATATTTCCACTGATTCTACAGAGGGACTATAGTTTGTGTTTGTATAGTTTCATGCCATTATGGCACTACTTTCCACACACTCTGTGGAAGTGGAAAGCAGCCCCTCCCCCCAAAATATATACAAATACGAAAATTTGGTTTTTCATTTTTTCAAGTTTTTCCTAGTTTGTTTGGTCCATGAGACCTACGTCTGGGAAGGGTTAAGTTTAATCATTGGATTTTAGATACTGTTCTGTCTACTTAGATTGACAGTCAAAGATTTAATCCATGGCTTATTTTACCTGAGCATCTTGTGGTTTCTGTACAAATATTTGTGGTATTGGACCAGCCCACATACAGTACAGGCTGTACGGTTGCTTGGCTGCTGTTTTCATTGCTATTGTTGAGGAGTTTGTAAAATCTGGAACAAAAACAATAAAAACACAATTGATAATACTATTTTTTGTAATCATGAATTGAATTGCATGACTAAAAGTTTGAGGGAGTGCTATTACACACTATAACACTCCATTTAAATTTAAGAATAAAATTCTGGATTTGAAACAGGTAGGTATTTATTGAATTAGTGATTAAAAAAGTGTTCTGTGAGAATCAGTGACCATGTAGTTTCTAATTCTGGTGAAATATGTGTAATTGTCACCTATCATAGGAATTCAACTATATATCACTTTGATTTTGGAATATCATTTTCTTCTTCAAATAAAACTGTATTGGACTGAAATGAACTGTCATTATTACCTTCACCAGTATATGTTGGTACCCATATTTTTGAATGTGGGTTGTACCATGTGCCCAAAATCATGTTACATGGAATGGGAATTGGTAGTTTATAAGCAACATTGAGAATATTTCTATTTCTCCTTTGGTATAACTTCCATTGAATCGTGATGAATATCACCAAAGATAGAGGAACCAGTAATATCCACTGAGCCTAGAACAGAGAAGGTAACATTACCTTCACAGTAACAGCAAACCTAAGTACTTGATAAACTGATGTTATTTCAATCATTTAATTTATAAATATGGCATTTTTAGTAAAAATACAAAATAGGAAATTAATATTCCCTTAGTCAGCAGGTTTGTTGGGGTGGGGGTAGTGTGTGTTTAATCAGGCATTTTGATGTGCAACTTTGTTTCCTCTGCATGTTATCTATATATATATATATATATATAAGGCAAAGCCCTCACTGACTCACTCACTGACTCACTCACTCATCACTAATTCTCCCACTTCCCATTTACCTAGGAGGCTGAAATTCAGTACACCGATTCTTTGGGCATTAAATAGGAAAACTAAGTAGTTTTTATTTTGATCGGGCTTTCGGGCTCCGCCCCAGTGGCTCTATTGTTTCCCATGTTAACCTTGTGATTTTTCATATTTAAAAGGAAATATTGAATCTTCCAGCTGTTTCAATTAAACAAGTTGGTTCTGTTCTATGATGTTCAATATCATTAAAGTTACAAGGATTACCAACAGGGTGCGGCACTATTATTTTTTTTTTATTTATGACAACAGCTAATTTGCAACCAAAAGGTGAGTGAGCGTAGCGAACGAACTTCAACCTGGAGGCGAGTTAGCGTAGCGAACGAGCTAACCTGAAGGCAAGTGAGCGCAGCGAACGACCTCCAACCTAAAGGTGAGTGAGCGTAGCGAACGAACTTCAACCAGAACGTGATTGAGCCATGAGAACGAGCTCACTTATAAAGTTAAAGGGGGCAAAGCCCGCGGGTACAGCTAGTATAGTTATATTTATTTATTTATTTTTGCATGGTGTGCTTTTTGGACTTTTTGCATGTGAGTCAAGAGGAAGTGCATCTCTGTTTTTGTTAATTTTAGTGACTTGGCTAATTGTAAATGACTGAAAGGCTCAATAAACATTGAATATTGCAAACCCTTTCAAGGGAAAGTGGTCCAAACCCAAAGTGATTTTTTTAGATATTCTGGAGAGTCACCCTGTACCTCTGACAAAGAAGTCTGAGACGCTAACCACTATACTAACACACAACTACTATAAGAACACATTCTTGTTCTTTTTAGCGAATTTCCCTATAGGGAAGTAGCTATTACCGTAGGTGGCACGGTAAGACCTAGACCCGGGACCGATTTACTTTTTCATTTTGATGTCCCCAGAGGCCAAAAACACCATTCGTTCAAATTTTTATTTATGTATATATATATATATATAGACATATATATATATATATATACGTCCGTGAACGCGATAACTTGAGTAATTTTTGTCCGATTTTGATGAAATTTGGTTTAAAGGTGTAAAGCGGGATAAACTTGAATGAGTTCGCGAACCAGCACAATCGGACCATGGGAACGGGGCTTTACGGGGGGTTTTATGGGGTAAAAATTGGTTTTTCTCACTTTTGACCCTCAAAACACAAAATTTCCCGATTTATCTTTAGACCTTTTTAAAGAGCTTAAAAAAAACAAATAATTTAGTATACAGTCCACTCTTGGTAATTCAAACACTTGATAATTCAAAACTTTCGATAATTCAAAATGAAGGCTCAGTCCCTAGAGAATCTCTCAATATTTCAAATTTTTACCATGCATTTTGATACACTCGATATTTCAAAGTCCAAATAGAGGGCAGGTCAATTTGTAACACGCAGTAATTCGAAGTTTTGTCGGAGAAACACTCTATAATTCGAAGTAACTCAGTAATTCGAAGTTTTATCGGTTAACACTCTATAATTCGAAGTAATGCTGTAATTCGAAGTTTCGTCGAAAAAACACTCTATAAATCAAAGTCACGCAGTAATTAAAAGTTTAGTCGGCAAAACACTCTATAATTCGAAGTGATCTCTTCCTGTTATAACAAGAAACTATACAGTACAGTACATCCTGTTCCCATGGTAGGCTAGTTTTGGACGTTTTGATGTTTGTTTAGTTAGAGCAGTAGTCTGAGTTAGTTCGCTGACTTGTTTTTCTAAGTTGGCAATCCGATCTCTAGATTGCGCGACATCTCCTTGAGCACAAACGTCGTTGTCGACAGCTGATAGTTCAGCTATTGGCGAAATATATAGCGCTAAATAACAGATTTCTTTGAGACTATAGTAACTGAAAAATAAGCCGTTGATTGTTTAAAAGTGTACAAAAATACGGTATGATGTTTTATTGTAACGTGCTGTACCTTTGTATGTATTAAACAAATTAACTCTCTGTAATTCGAATGGTTTATTTTTCTCCTGATAAATCGAACTCTTGATAATTCAAAACTCTTGATAATTCAAATTTATATGCTTGGCCCACCAATTTCGAATTATCAAGAGTCTACTGTATAAAAGTATTTTTGTTCAATTATTGGTAACGGAGAAAATTAAAAAAATTGTAAATTTAAAATTCCCATGTTATTCTTATGGAGAATATTGTCAAATGTTGTAGTTTGCTTGTTTATAGACATATTTTGATCAAACTTGGCAAATTTATTTATTTTGTACTAAGCTATCAATATTTTACTCAAAAACACACTTTATTAGTTTCCTTGTAGCAGCAAACCTAGGTACTCGTTAAACCTAATGTTATTAAAATATATTTAACTGAAAATCAATTCAGACAAATGGAAATTCGCTTAGTCGGCAGGTTTGCTGCGGCGGGGGTATTTGATTGTTGCTTTGATAAAAATAAAACATGTTATAATCTACTGCTATTATCTTTGAAAAAACACATTTCTCTGGCTGTTCAAAGAATTAATTTAAACTAGAGGTCATCCGGTGGTCAAAACTCGGCCAAAAATAGGTAATGCACAGACTTCACTATTTTCACCCGACGCTGTAAATAAAACATGTGATTGGAATTTCTTCCATTTTTTTTGATTTTCTGTTTAGATTTTCCTTTTGTTATTTCGTCACCAGCAAGGCAACCCATAAGGCCCATGTTAATTTTGTATTTAATTTTAAATGCATTTGTTGTGCTTATTTTTTGTATATTTTAATTTATAAAGGTATTTTGCACATCTATTGGGAAATATCGTTCTAACAGTATGTGTGGATTTTCCCTCCGATGCACAGGAGCTAAGAAAAGTTTTTCAAGAAACATGCTTGCCTATTAATATATAGGATAAAAGAAATAGAACAGACAAAACACAAAATTTGTATGGTTTAGGCAGTTGATTTGTTTTGGAAACAAGAGTCCCTGAAATGTGTGTTTTCATTATTTTCTCATGAATTGAACGATATCCCGGAGTCTATCTAGTCTAATCTAAGACTTCAAGAAGATGACAAAGATGATATAAATATCCAAAACATACAACTAAATAAAAAGGTTTATACCTGATTGTGGCCTTGTGGTCCAAGGTTTATCCTGAACACTATATATGTATAGAATGTGATTTATGTACATTTTGAGTCTAGCGCGCTTCCATATCCTGCCTGGTGCACACGAAGTAAAAACGAAAAACTATGAAAAATTATGGTTGACCGGTGTTTTTTGTGTTGAAAACTTTCAACACACCTCTTCAGGGAAGATTAGGTATTCTTTCTTATACGGATCTGACGATGACATTCGCTCCGAAATGTGCATAACCCAGTAGGACAGACCTCGAACAACAAGGCGACAATCAGGTATTTTAACCTTTTAATTTAATTATCAATCAATAGGTCTGGAAACACCAAAACAAAAAATTAATCATCCAAAACTTGTCTGAAATTGTAAATGTATACTCACTATTGTTATGTCTTTTACTATTTCCAAGTACATCTCCTACGATCTGTAACAATAAAATTATACAACTTCATCTTACAGTGGGTAGGGGTTTTTTACGGCATCATCAAAAGCAATAGTTTTATTTTTGTGTGGTTTATTAACTTTAATTTTTGTCCACCAAAAAAATAAAGGTAAATAAACAACTAGGTTTAAATATTTTGATTTAGGTTTTCACAAAATAGGCTGCTGATATATTAAAGTATTAAATAAAGCACAACTGAGCGCTCTGAAATAATAATTATATTTTGTGGAAGTGACATGTTTTGGACTCCATAACAGTTAATCCCTGGCATTATTTACAAATAAAACAAAATTCAACAAGTTGTTTTTTTTTTATCAAATGTGATAATATTTCACATAAAGGAGGAACGAGTTAATATTTCTTATAATAATAATAATTGAGACAGTTTTTTCAGTTCTTTTGCAGTGTGAATCGATTGATATTTTATATATAATAGTTTATTTTCCCCATGAACATTGATTGAATTCAATTTACATTTATTTGGTTTGTTAGGGACTCAGTAAATCCCAACAGATGCCACAGTAAACCATGACCAAGAACAGCTCATGTTATCAAATCCCTATCTTGCCTCAGAAAATATTTGTTTGCTGAATTTCTATCTGAAAATATAAGAAACATTTGTAAATTTATAAATCTGAGTAAGTGAACTAAGCTGTCCTTATTCTTTCACTTAATTGTCCTGCCTGGAGAACAAGCTGATCTTAGACAGTAATAAAGCAATAATTCCATTTTTATTTAACACACATCCTTTACACATCTTCACTTCACCAGTCACCCTGGTGGGTCCACATTGTGTATGAATTGAATCTAATCTAATATAGTATTTAGTATTACCTTAACTTAAGGAAAAAATCCAATAAACTTTATATTGCTGAGTTAAAAATAAAAACACATCACATTAAAATTATCTCATCACAATTTTTGAATTCACACTGCCACTAGTGTTGAACTATAACACTCTTATCACATGTGTGACACAAAAGATTTATCAATTATGTAAATATAGCCTTGCGAGCTTGCAAATACAGGAACACATTATGCTCTGCAATTATCATTGAAATGAAAACTATAACTGCACACTTTAGATAACAATGACAGGGACCTTGAAAAACATTTAAGGTAGACCCATTTCCCCCATTTACATGATTGTAACTAAGTTTTTATTAGATTATTTTTTTCTTATGTTCCAAGTAAAAGACTTAACCGATTAAAAGACAGGCTGTTCACTTCACATCAACTTCTTAGAATGTGGCATTAAATTAATTGATATTATCGCTATACTTTACCTTACCCTGAATATTTTTATAACTATATAGATTTAAATTTCTTCCTCTTTCTGTAACTTTTCTGATCTAAAACTTTATTAGAATAGTGCTATAACACTTTAAGTGGCCAAATGAGTTTTTTCCGCAAAATTCAACGCCCCCTGGGATATGGTCCTTCAATAAGTTTATTAGCTTCAAAATTCTCTATTCCTCACAGGGTTGCCACCTTATGTTAAGGAAAAATCGGGACATTGCCACCTTCCACCCGAATTAAAATAGGCTTATATTACGGGCATAAGGAACCAAAATCGGGACTGTCCCTGCAGAATCGGTACGGGTGGCAACCCTGATTCCACAAGCATTTACATTGCTCTATCAAAGCATGAGATGGGTGAAATAGGATACCTTGGGATTAAGCTCTCTTTTGGGGATATGCATTAGTGTACTTTTAAAAAGGTCGTGCATTATTAACTAAAGTACAAATAATACTTATTTGTACAATAAGTATTGTACAATAAGTTGTGTTAATAAGTTGCAGAAGCTAAGGTCAGCCACAGCACTTATCCTTGAAGTCTACAGAACTACTGATGTGATTGCTTCCTGTTTGCCAAAGACAGGCAAGATGTAAACAGACCTTTAAAGGTTTTTAGTGTCTTAAAATTTAAAAATTATAAGTGTAATAAAAGCCCATTTGTTCAAATAACTTACTTTGGTCTTACAGGTCTTCAGAGTCGTAAAACAAGTCCAGTAGGAGAGACTTCTTCACCTGGACATGTTCCTCTGGTTGCAGGACAAATGGTGATTTGTAACCAGTGACGAGGTAGAACTTTCCACTAGCACTGCAATGTTGTACACCTCAGATTATCTTCCGTTACTTTATACAAAAATAGTGGAAGAATATACTACAGTAAACCTTAGTTAATCCAGATCCCATTATAAACTATGCAGTTTTGATGCACAGCAAATCGCACACAGTTGACCAAAATGATACTTAGTTACACAATCAACCGCTAAACTGAGACTATAGTAATAATGAGAACTGTATTGATTTCATGAACATTAAGACGTATTCCACAAATTATTCTTTAAGAGGTTAACTACTAAGTTTTAATGTTATTCATTTATATTAGATATACACTATTTAAGGTTTTTTTCCTGGGAAAAGATGTTTAATTAAGACACAAGACAAACTCAACTCATGCTAAAAAAAAGTCTGCTGGCTCTTACGTTAAGAATATTCAATTTAATATACACTCTCTTTAATTCAGATAACTACTTAAAACCACAATTTTCTGGATTACATTAATTAATACAAGGATTTAGTGAACTTTTCAAAGCTGATGATTTACTAGAATTAATAGTCCCTATTGTAGTTGTATTGTTTAATTTGAGCTGGGAAAAATAAACATAATTAGGCTAATTGGAAATCTACACATTTTACGTATGTATACACTGTCAACCGTAGATAATACAAATGTATGATATCAAACTTTAAAGTCACCAGGGAGTTAAATATGAAGCATAACTGATAAAAGTTCTCATTGGGGTGATTTGCAATAAATGTACAAATACATGAACTTTCTTATACATAAGTGTGGAATTTGGATGCATTGTGTACTATGATTTCACCAACTCCCAAACCTTGTACCCTGTATACTTTGAATCTTTTCTTTCCAAAAGGACCAAAAGTTGATGAGAATATCTGATTGAAACTATTCTTTACAGATTTTTTGAGCCAGACAAGTCTTAACCAGTTGTAAAATTACAACAACGCCTGTAGCTATTCTTAGGTCCACTAGATATACAGCACACATTCCTTACTCCCCTCACTCTCAATACTGGGCTGACGTCCTTCTCTCTCTGTTTGCATCATGCAGGTGTTGCTGTTCAATGGTAAGGATGCGATAGAACAGCTGCTAGTCCAAATTTGAAAATAAACCAAGCCCTTGTTACTTCCATCAGAACACAACTCTCTCCCCACAACTATCTTTTTTGGAATGGGTGTATCTCGGCGCTTCATTTCTATTTGTTGGATTCAGATTCCCAAGAGTTTTAGATCGTGTCAGTTCAAGTGGCAAGCAGGATGCGCACCAGAACTCTTCTATTGCTGTTGTTTTTATTATTTTGTACTTTTTCCCAACAATTAGTGACTCTCAGTTATGTTGGGGCTTTTCTTCATCCCTTTCACTCACCATCTTAACTAACACGATCTTTACCCTTACCTTCCAACCGAAAAGCAGGTGATCAGCAGTCTCCACTGAACTACCACACAACTATTTTATCTACTACAGTATTTTCAAGACAGTTACTTGGCAGGACATGGATCGCCCATGAGAACAGTCGCTGAGATGCTACAATTGTCAGTCTGGTAGTGATGCCACGAGTCGCATCTGGTAGCAGGAAAGCCAACCTCCGAAGTGATAGATTCGATAAAGTACAAAGCTGCTCTACGATGTGAACAGCTCACTGGAACCGAAACACAATCATTTGTCATTCATGCAAGTAAACACCATGCATTTCCATCTAGTTTGATAGTATATTTACGGTAATTTCTAAATTGAACCTTTCCTAACAGTTTGTGTGACCCTTTTTTGTGATGATAAACAACTTTTATCGTTTGTTAGCAGCTACTATTGCAATTTTAAAAGGGAGAAATCATGGCAAAGGGTTTTGTCAGTATCAAATGTACCATCTATAAACACTGTCGAGCTAAAACATACAGGGATGATGAGATTTTTAAATCTGGAGCAGATTAATTTTTAATGAACAATATTTTAATTCTTGAATATAAAAAAACATTTGTTGTTGGAAAGGTCTTGGTGTGCTCATGCCAGAGCCTCTTTCTAAAGACTTTCCTACGAAATTGAGTCCTATTCCAATGCCTCAGCAGAAAGTGGCAAATCAGTAATATTTTTAATTTTATGCAGTAAAACTTGTAATAGAAAGAAATTATTCTTAGCTACTAGAAGCCAACACCAGTAGGTCAACAATGAGCAAACCAAAGGGAATTGGTTATTATTTATGTTACATATTTTCCACCTTTGGTTTCAGAAGTACCTCATGTAAGCTTCAAATCGTTTTCACTGTGTATATGTGAAATTTTGTTTTAGTTTTGATCTGATGTTTTCCAAGACATTGTTAATACATAAGTTTCCTCTTTCTTCATTAACAAGATTCACTTCTACATTAAATACCACAGGGTGACACTTAGGGAGGCACTTACAGGAAGACACCTCACATCCGGGTTGCTGTGACCCGCCATTCGGGTAGAAATCAATGTGACCCATCGGCCCAGACTGACCCAGCAGTCCCGCAGCCGAGTGTATGATGTCTACGAACACAGCATCGCCTGCGTCCAAGCTGACGTCATTCTCCATTGGTACGTAAGGGAGTGCCGGGTCCAAACCTGCTCCAAATACATCAAATTTATAACTTGCTAACAATGATTCTACACAATTACCTTTTTGATTTTTGTTGCCTTGGAAGTTCTTGTTGCTTTTGATATCTGATGAGCATTTCGCCACAGGTTGTGGCATCTTCAGAGGTTACTATCCTACACTTACATCCTAATATATACACAGTTTATATACACGAGAGAACTTCAAGGCAACAAAAACCAAAAAGGTAATTGATTAAAACTGTTCTTGAAACTGGGTTATATCACAGATTCTACACAGGTGAACTACATGTATCCACTGCAATATTCTAGGTAATATCCAACTGTATACATAATGAAATAAGTGTTTCTTGGTTAGAACTCAAACTGGTTTAAACTCAAAACCAAATATGAGTTTAGAATGGTGTGCATATGATCTGTTTAGCTTCGTTACTGACTAAGAACAGCTATTTCATTAAGGATCATCTATTATAAAGCTCAACGATCAGGTACAGCTGGGTTTCAGATTAGCACTGCCAAAAAGCTACTGACTTTTCTCAGGATCGATCCAGCAAATTTTGATTGTTAGGCGAGCACATTAACCACTCAGTACCCAGCCAGTCCTGCATCCTGAACACTATGTTACTATTTAGTCTTGTTTTATATTTACTTTGTGAAATATTTGACTATATAAACTCATACCACGAGGATAACTATACTGCTTCTTATATACTAAGCATTCTACTTGTCTGTGCTCATATAAAGATCACACTCTTAAAAAAACTATTATTGACAATATAACTAATTATAAATGTAACTTTTCAAACAATTAATCTACTTGTGAAACTTTACAAACCAGTGATCCGGGATACCAGTCCGTGGCCGAGAAAAGTTCCAGCATGACCCGCTACGTGAGCTCCCAAACTGAACCCTACGATGTGGATGTTACTGGGCGACACTCCTGCGTATACGAGGTGGTCCAGCAGCTGGGCCAACAGACCACCCACCTGCTGCAGTCCTCGTGAGGCGACAATGGGGTAGCAGGAGGATTCACCTACCAGCACGGACCAGTCTACCACCACCACGTTGTACGGCCCGCGGGACAAATAGGCTGCAAACAGTAACCAACTGGAAACATCTGAAGGATTGTTGGGTCAAAATAAAACTAGTTAAGGGCTACTTCCACCACTGAAAAAACTGTAGGGAAATTAGAAAGAATGGATTGAATGATCCATAAAACCATACTGATACAAAGGGTACATTCTTCCTTTTCCATATGGATAGTAATGTATGCAACTACAAACACTTAATTCTGTTACACAAGTTACAGTTACTAGTTGTTATTAATTCTCTTAATAAGGCTTGGCTTCAGGAAAACCTTTATTAATTTTTGACTTCGCATCTAAACCATAAACCATTTGATCAATTTTTTTCACAAAAAGAATGGACCTATAAACACGAAACTCTTAAAGAAAAATCACTTTTTAAGAATTATAGTTTAGTGTAAATGGTACTTACGTCCAATGTCTCAATAAAAATTTGAGGGCATAATGAAATTTTTTACCCTCCACATTTTCCATAATAATAAGAATAACTCTATGGCATAGTTACCATCTTTCATGCTGACCATAACATCTGTCTGATAATCTTGAAGGTAACCGTGAATGAGAACTTTTGTTTCAGAAAAAACATTGAACCACTTTGATTGAATTGACGATTTAGCTGGATTCAATGGCTCAAATTCATCATCTTCGTAATAGTCCTCTTCATTTTCAATTTCCCTTTGAAAGTAAACATCAAAATTATCAATGAATATCATGCTAGTTGGACATGATTGAAGCAAAGTGTATTAAAACAATAAATCATTATAACTAAGGTTTAGTTGTTTCTTTTACTGTTCAATGTTTTTATAATGAAAAACAATGTTGCTAATGCAAAAAAAGTCTGAACCAAAAGTTAATACGAAAATGAACAGATATGTTATAAAACTGCAAAAAATTAAATTACAGTTTTGTACTGAATAACCAATAAATACAAACAGCAATTACATCCACGAGCGCTATATGAACAGGTTTATTTTTTGGCTATGGTCAAAGCGCTGAGGAATAATCAAAGACTGGGACGGGTGGCGTCATCCTGTAATCCAGATACTAGGAGGTTACGAATTGTGGATATTTATAGGCTTGCACTGTGGATGCGACACTCCCTGGTGTGGATTAACGTCCTCACGAGTGAGTACTACGACTATCCGCAGTACTATCCTGAAAATTAGACCAATTCGTATATACCAAGGCAAAAATGTGGTTCGGATTCCACTATAAACTGTAGGTCCTTTAGTTGCCATTGGCTGTATGGGCTATTAATTAAAAGCTGTGTCTAAGGAATAAGTCAGCCTTAGTCACTAACAAGACTACAAGATCGCGCCACTCATCCTAAACTCATCTCCATTCATACTTGGCTTAAAATACCTACTTTGTATGGTTGCAGAAAAACTAGAAGATCTGAAGGCCTTAACCGAATTATTTATGAAAGAAACAGAAAAAGTAGGCCTAAAAACAAACTATTCCAAAACTAAGTACATGCACTTTTCAAGAAACCTGGATAATACTGAAGAACCAATAGAAATTGATGGCCATACATTTGACAAAGTCAACTGTCAATCAGTTTTAAAGGGAAACACTGTAGGAAGGCGACCCCGGGGAAGACCTAAGCAGAGGTGGTGGAAGCAAGTGCAAGTAGATTTGGAGAGAATTGGGGCAACGGAGGATGATGCGAAAGACCGGTTAACTTGGGGAAGATTTGTTGGTGCGGCCAAATATCACCTCCGATATAAATAGCCCTGGGAGTAATTAAGTAAGTATGGTTGCCATTTCATTGAAAAGTATTAAAGTAAAGTACAAAGTAGTATAAAGTAATAGTCCGGGTAAAATACACTATGAGGTGGGCAAAATTGCTTTAAGCAAATTTAAGCCATATTTTCAAATTATACATACAGGACAATATATAAACAAAAATCCGACAAAATCCGAGCATGGTAACACTGAGAAATTTGGGGTTTTGTAACATAACAAAATGCAATATTTTACAATAGACAAATACAGTAGTGTATTCCCCACATATTGTAAAGCAGCTATTTATTTCTTGTAAGTAGGCAGTAAAATGGTTGGCAGATTTTTTTAGATCCCTTTATATGCTAATAATAATATTCCTCCAAATTTTTATATATAAATATATATGTATATATATATATATATATATAAATTTCAAGTTGCTGAAATTTGTCTATTTTATCTCCGCCTCTCTCACATTTTCCTTTCCCTCCCTAGTCATGTACTTGTGCATATAAAGCAGTGGAAATTACACAGCTGATTAACACCCACTGTATTTAACAGCTGATTGTTATTGTTTAACAATAACATATTTAGTGTGTTTACAAATATTACGTATTTCAATGTTGTTGATATAAAAAGTGCTTTACTTTTTTGATATACGAATAATAAGTATTTTTAACGTTATGTTGTGGACATTTGTTTAGTTTTAGTATAGTAATAAATTAAAATTACCACAATTGTGTCATTTGTAATGGTTTGTACCAATGAATTATACTATTTCATTGGCAAAACTGCCAAATATCGTTGTATGTTTCATAACCTAAAGAAAATATCACCATGGAAGTCTTATCAGGTCAGTGTGCTATATGTAAGAAGTCTGATACCAATGATACCCTCATAGTTTTAAGCCCAAAAGGTGCTGAAGGAATTAACAATGCAAGTAAACTACGCCAAGATGTTATAATTGTAGCAGATGGGTTTAAAGTACACTCAACGTGCCGAAAACGGTACACGGACAAAAAAGATATTTCTATCCTCCAGAAGCAAAGAAACGATTCCCCAGTTAAAAAAAGAAGCATTCGGTCAACTGATGTTTCATTCAGGAGCAACCTAGACTGTTTATTATGTGGTACTTTTGTACACTTCAATGATAAGTACGGGCGAAATGGCGAAGGCATCCGAGTACAAACAGACACCTTTGCACACTCGATTATGGCATGTTGTAAGCAACGACAAGATGAATGGTCACATATCGTCTGAGGACGACTGGAATATCTTGGACTTGACCTGCAAGCTGCAGAATGTGTGTACCATAATTCGTGTAGGTAGTGTTAATTTTCGCACTGGCAATCTCATCCCTAAGCTATATGCATGTAATGAAAATCCATCCGTAAAAAAACGAAGGAGTGGTCGTCCAGAAAATGAACTTCAAAAAGATGCATTCCTACAAATATGTGCTCACTTAGAATCACATAATGACGAACAGGTGACAGTTGGAGATATCTCGTGTCATTAATGGAGGGGTTTCTGCAGGGAACAGAACTTAATGCGTATGACAGAAGATACATGAAGCGTCAACTACTTGAACACTATGGAGACAATATAGTAATATCTGGACAGAGTGGAAAAGTTGATGTTATCACCTTGCGAGAAACAGCTAATACGATTCTTCATTCGTATTATTCAATGCCAAAAGAATCAAAAGAATCTGCTACAAAATACCATTCACTTCGTGTGTATTATCAAGTTCATGTGTGGAAATCAGATAGTGACGCTGCAAATCCACAAGACTGGGGATGGTTGGAGAAAAATAATGAGTATTACCCTCTAATGTGCGACTTGCCACCAGCTCCCGCCTCTTTACTTTCAAAGGTACGATGTAATTGTGCCTCTGGTTGTGTAACAACACGCTGCAGTTGCCGGAAGAATGGTTTACCCTGTACAAGAGCTTGTGGACACTGCCAGCAGGCCGGCTGTGAGAATGAAATGGACATTGAGAAGGATAAAGACGTTGACAACAACTCAGACCTAGAGTGATGTAATGCCTTAACATTAATTTATAACTAATCTTCTTTGTATTTTTGTTCTTTGATATCTATGTACATTAAGTAATAAACATTATCACTATATCATTTGAGTGTTTGTGCATTATTCTTTTCTATTAACACATTTTATTGACACCAAAGGGACAAGAGTGAGGGAAAGCAATTTCCATGTAAATTGATGACCAATAGCTCAAATAAAAGCCGTTACATCACTGAACATTTTGAGACCAGAACGAACTGGAAGCCTCATTTAGAACTGGAGATATAAGAAAAATAATCTTAAAAAATGTTCAAAATACGAAACGTCCATAAGAAATGTATAGGGTAGAATTTTTATTTTAGTATATCTTTAGAACGAATAAAGATATTAAAAAACGGATTTCGGCATTGTGATCTGCGTGAAAATCTACTTTATTATGATGTGTCACAACACTATCTTTACATTTAAGAAATTATATTTATATCCAATATGGCGGATCCAAGATGGCGGCCAAAAACGATTACGCTGTCAAAATAAAGTACCAATCACCCAAAAAATATATGCGGTGGTCCCAAGTCAATATCTCGAAAAATGTGGATTAAAAATGCAGTGGGGTGTCTTTTTTTGAAAATATTCCAATATTGGGAAAAGCCGCCATTTTAAATCGTGATTTTGGAGGTTTTCCCATGGCCGGATTTTGTCGGATTTTGGTAGAGACCTCCCCTAATATGTAATGACAAGAATTCTGCTTTGATTGGCTTTAAAGCAATTTTTCCCAGGTTAGGTATATATTTTTCGTATTTTACCTGGACTATAAGAGCTTGTGTGAATCAGTTGTCTGAACAATCCCAAGTTCAAAACAACAGAGAGTCTACTAGACTGAATTTGTATTACTGTATTAGTTTTTATAAAATGACTTTATAAGTTTTATAACTTTTTTAAACGTTCTTTGCTATGTTATAAGAGTCTGCATGCTCCACATTGTTTGTTTCAAACAGTACAGCGGTGTAATTAAAGCATTTAAAGATCCACCTTACCTTTTATTGTAGGGAATCTCTGTCTTGAGTTCTTCCTCCAATACAGGTTTTGGAATATTAGTATTGTCTGTCACATTGTCCAGGGGTTGTTCTTGGGGGAGAAATAGTTCTTCTGGCTCCTCTGGATTTTTCCTGGAATTCCTCAAATATTTATTAAAAAGTTGCTGTTGTGTAAGCTAAACTCTCTAACAAGAGCGCTTAAGCTTTCGTTGTATTTAGTGAGAGTGATAAAATATGTGATGAAAATGACACAACTGAGTACCATATGGTAAAGTCAAAAAATGTTCATTAAATTCATTATGCATCTAAACTGTGGTGTGTTGCAAAACACTGTGTGTTTTTCCATCAGTCTGTGGACATTTAAAACTTGTTTTCACAATCTATTTAACTAGCTTAACTCGACATTAGTTTTAAAAATTGGTTCTAATCTGCTATGTTCTAAGATTTAATCTCCAAACACTTACCTAGTGTACAAGTGGAAATGAACGTCTTCTGGCTTTGCTTCAACAAAACTACTGAACACACAGTGGTACATGCCTCCCAGCAGATCCAGAGCCATATCCAGCTCTACGTCAGCAACACAAGCACACATCTTTTATGAGGAAAAAATTAACATTTTACAAATTTATGATGTAACATTTTTCTTTACAATCACCATAATTCAAACAAAAATTTTTTGTTTCATAATTCAAACAAATGCAGTCTGTACCCACAGCCACAACACAAAGGTGTGTTATAAAGACTTCAAATTTCTAGAAATTAAAAGGACAACTTTAAGGGACTTTGAACCGCCAGGCTTGTTCCCAGCATCCGACCATAAGTAGAACGGAAGTAGTATGGTGGGCTATCTTGTGACCCAGTTTTTGCTGGATCATGGGTACTCCTGGGCTTTTTTGTACAGAATGGGGAAGACCGCCAGCTCAAGCTGTCTGTACTGTCTCAGCATTGCAGACAAGGCTGAGCACACCTTCTTCTTCTTCTGTGACAGGTGGCATAATTGCCAAGCCTCTTTGATCCCTGAGATCAGCTTCAACTTCTTTAGGGTTATGCTCCAGGAAAGGGCACTTGAAACTGTGTAAAGCATAGTTCTCCGAGGCCATACTTGGGCTAAGAAAGTCAATACGATTGTTGAAGTCAGACTATTTGGGGCAAAAACTCAGATAATAAGTCGTATGATTGTTCTTTACAGGCATTACTAGGTGAATTAGCTTCCCTTCACAACCCAAATGAATTGCTAACTTTGTTGGAGAGCTAGATTTGGCTTTGAAACAACAGACAACAATTAATATTTCTGAAAAGTGAAAATCATCATTTATTTCTTTATTTTTCATTACATTTCAAAGAGTTTAATCAGGTCAACGGTTTGTATATATTTTAAATTGCCAATTGCTAGAAACTGGAACCATTCACTTTAGGTATTATTAACCTCTAACTATATTAACTTGTTAAAACACTTTTTTTAGTTGCACTAGGTACAGTTAGATATAAAGAATGTCCTCTGAGACTTACAGAAAATTCAAAAATGTTTTTGCTATTGAAGGGAAAAGTTTAGATCAATAGGCTATACTTACTTGATTCATGAATATCCTTCGAAGTAGCGTTTGTGTTATTAACAGCCAGTATGACGATTGAAGAATTTGGAGGCTGCAGGTGATCCGGTAAGCTACCGTTTTTAATATCAGTGGCATTTACATCCCCAATCTTAGTGATGCTGTTTGGAGAAAGTGCTTTGAACACACCAACCAGACTGTCAAAAGGTTTCATCACAAATGCCATGACATTGAAAGATGTGTCATTGATATCAGCGGCATTACGCACATCTGTTATGTTTGGATAAAATTCATGTTTCTTCGTTTCTACTTTTGATTCCACATTATCTGCAAATGCCACTGACTTTGTTAAAGCAGTGCTATTTTCCTGTTGCAAAGAATTGGTTTTGTTTAACTTTATAACGTGTATTTTATCCGTGTAAAATTTATGAAAAATTTGTTTCACTTTTCCACGGCCAGTTTTGTTGACTGACATATTTGGTTCAGTCGTATAAGCAAATTCAATCTGTGTCCTATTGGACAGAGTTCCTCGTTGATTTTCATTGGTGGTAGTATCATAATTATACGGAATAAGGTTGACATTAAGAGTATTGTCTTTTCCACCTCGTCTAGTTGATGTTTCTGGAGCATTAGAATTATGTATATATTCTTTGGTTACATCACTAAGAGCTGAATCCACCACTGTGTTGTTTTCTGAAACTATTAAAGGCAGAGTGTTGTGGGAATGTTTAAGATGAAAGAAATGTTTGATCTTTTTATTTGGTGCAAAAGTGGACTGGATTAGATGTTCTTCGCTACTTTGGACAGGTGTTTCTGTAGTTACATATGATGGAAGAGGTTTCGTTACAGTTATACTGTTAGTGGAGGAAAGCTGGAAACACCATCTGAATGTACAATTATCTTTTTTGTTATAAGTCTTATTGATAGCAGGTATTTTATTTTTACCTAGAAACCAATCCCTAAACTTGTCACCACTGTTTGTATGCACTGTTACATTGAACATTTCCTTGAAACTGTCTGAAGCAGAGTTATCTAGTTTCCTGTTATTGTAATTATGATTTTCAATCCTTCCTGGGTATTTGTACCTTCTGAGATCATATTCTGTGGATTTCCGCAAACCCCTAATGTCTTCATATATTTGAGTACTGACAACAAGAGTATTATCTGTATGTTCACTTGTTTCTAAGCTACCGAGGCCTTCAAAGCCTTTTGTAGTTGTGGGATTATTTTTCATTACTTTATGTTTTGCAGTATTATTACAGGTTGGATTGGAAGTTTTGGAGTCGAAGTGAATATTAACGGCACTCATAGGCTTTGTTGTAATGTCAAAATTGAAATTTTCCTTGGTGACTGGAGTATATTTTTCATAATTTTCACTAGATGCCAAAGACAACAATGTTGAATCACTAGGACAATGCTGTGTACTAGACTTAAAATTTTTAAATCTCATCAGATATTTGACTTTAAACGGACTACGAGTTATCGTATCTTCTGGTTTAATATGTGAACTGATTTTTGATCCAACCAATTTATTGATTGAACTCTGTTCAAATTCTTTGTTTCCTTTACTTATTGTTGTTTTCACCAATATCTGGTTGCTTTCTTCTTCATTTTCTGCACCTTGATTTAGAGGCTTCATTAGGTGTGTCTTATTTTTGTTTTCTCTAATAATGTCACTATTCAGTCCATGTTTTCCTTTTGTTATTGAGGGTGTAAAGGTTGTCTCGGATCCACACTTTGTATCAAAATTAGTTTGTTTTGATGTGAAATAACCTTCAACATCTTTAGATAATGTATCAAAACTGCTAGTTGATGTTCTTGGATTTTTATGTACCAAGTTTTTTAAACGCATATATTTACTACTGGTTTTCGTTAAACCTTTACTTAACTCTGCAGTTAAAGGAATTTCAGTGATAGGCCTACATTCTTTGTCGAGAACGTCCTGAATTGGAGAAGATGGGATTTGTGTTTCAAAGACAACAGGCTCTGTTGAATCAAAGTGATTAGGATTACTAGTTACAGTTGGAAAATGTTTCAACTGTTTTAGTTTGTGAAATATGTTTAAAAATTGAAGGACACTTGTTGGTCTAAAAGTTGTGGACGCGTTGGTTATTGGCTCAAGTTTGACTGTTTCATTTTGAGTTGTTTTTATACTACTTGGACTTTTTTGCGAGATATTATAATGTTGTAAATGTCCTCCTGTCCTAGTGGGCGATGAAGCTTTGGAAACATGGAAAATGTTTTTTATATTGAACTGATTGCGATTAATTACTGGCTTGTAACTAAGAGAAGAATATTCTTTTGACTGATGTGTTTTTAAACTCTCATTAGCTGTATAGCATTGCAATGTGTAATGGTCATCACCTACTTCTTTTGTAGCGGAATACATCTTTGTTCCAGATGTTATATTGTACTTGACTGTTCTAGGGTCTAGGGTGATCTGGTTTCCATTCAAAGGAGTGTTTGACAAGCCATCATTACTCAAATCGGATTCAATGTAGGAGCTGTTTTTTGGTAAACAAGATTTTAGCAAGTCAAATGTGTTTGATATCTTTTTCTTCTTCATAATTTTATCATCTGAGGTACTTGAACTACTTGCAGCAGACAAATATGCTGTTGAGTGTTTGGAATGAATAATTTTCCCTTTGTCTTGTAGTGATTCAGTTGATGGTGGATCAATTGTTTTTCCTGTACTCATACATATGGGTTTCTTCAATCTCTGTTTTTTTCTATGAGCCATCTTTGTCTTTTGAACAAAAAAAGGGGTACAAGTTGATGTTATGTTGATTGGTTTGTTATGGTACTTATTCAACAGATTTTCAAAATTTATTTTCTTCCTTTGAGTATTTATGAGGAGCCTTTTTGTGGTGGGGTTGTTATTCATAAAAATCCTTAGTGTTTTCTTGTCCACAATTTGGTTGTCCGTTCTGTTAAACTCCATTACTGTGTTTAAACTGTTTGATTCGGAATCAGTTTTGCCTACTATGGGAAGTAGATGACAAAATATAAGTAAAACTTCTCCAAGGCAGACTGTAGTCATTAAACTGAAAAGAAGTAAAACAAATTACCAAGGCGGAACAATTTTTATCTTTCATGTGTCTATTCAAATTAATATTTTTTCATGCCAATTTTATGCTAATTCCTCAACTATGGAACTTAAGTTATGTAAAGGAACCAATTGAGTTCTTTTAAGCTTATAAATTAACTTGTGCTAACTTACTATCCGCATGCAGTGCTAAACACGTCTACCATTGCGTTAGCTGTATATTGTACGTTGTTATTGTATAATATATATTTCAATTTCAATTTTCAATTTCTTTATTCATTGAGAAGTATACATAATACAGCATTTGAATAGTGTCAAAGATTACAATTATTAAAATATAAAATACAGATTAAAAATAAATCTTAAATTAAAAAATACATCTCCCCATACAGATGCCTTCTTAATATCTAGTATTCTTGAGGGAGGTGGAAAAATTCTTCTTGAGAATAAATTGCCATGTTTAGGCTATTAAGAAATTTTTTAGTTTTGTTTTAAACTTTTTTGGATCTTTTTCATTTCTAATTCCTCCGGGGATATGTTTAAAAAAACTTTTACCAGCAAATGATGGCTTTTTTTCATAAAACTTTAATCTGTGCCTATTTTGCAAAATCTGATTTTTTTTTCTCGTTTCATATTGGTGAACCGGTAGATTGGATACATCAGATGAGGTTTTATTTTTAAAAATTAAAATTGAATCATAAATATACTGCCCATAAACAGTTAGTATGTTTAGCTGTTTAAAGTGCTCTTTTGCCGAGACATCAGAATTTAGTCTGAGCATTACTCTCACTGCTCTTTTTTGATGTTTTAATATTTTATCTAGATTGATTTGAGTTGTTGCTCCATATAGACAGATACCAAAGGAAATATGTGAATGGATATATGCAAAGTAAATGTTTTTCAAAGTTTTGACATCACAGTACACAGACATTTTTGAAAGGGCAAAAATTCCAGAGTTGATTTTTGAAACTATTTTTTTTGTATGATCATTCCAATTCAAATTTTGATCTATTGTTAGACCCAAAAAGTTTGTGCTGGTCTTTTGCTCAATAAGTTGCGAGTCATACATTATTATTGGGTGATTGGAATTTTTATTTTGTGGTGTTTTAAAAGTGATAAAATTAGTTTTTTTGTTATTTAATTTTAGGTTTTGGCACACCAGATAACTGCCCAAATTTCCAAGTTCTAGAAAAGCAGAAATTTCCGTTTGTTCCAGTGTATGAGAGGAAATAATTAAATTAGCATCGTCAGCATACAGGCACAATTCACTTCACAATATAGCCTTGCATATACACAAACAAAATATCTATAGCTGCAGTAGCAGTCTGTGTATTTAAAAAATGTTATGACAGCCTAGCTGTATAACAATGGTGAAACTAGACATCTTCAGCAAGTCTTTCCTTTTACTTTTTTTGGTTTGGCTGACTGGTACTGGTAAACATTTAGATCAGTTGTATCATAGCCTCGTCTAATGCAAGGCCACGGTGTTGGTGTGTGGCATCGCTACACATGGTGTGTGGCATGGCTATTGCCATGGTAATAACAGGAATAACAAACTTGTAAACATAAACATTGTGCATGATCCATTATAAATTAGTGCAAGGGCTGATTCAGTATTCCAGGTCTATGGTGTAGCATATTTTGTCCGCCTGCAGCCCTGTATTAGAGGAGGCTATGGTTGTATGCTTCTTCAATAACTATCATGCTCTAGAAAACCTCTACAAATAAATGTTGTACCTATCTAAATAATTTTAATGGATTCATTGCTTATTCCTACTTAATTAAAAATTATATACTTCTAAATTTTACTATTTTGATAAAAACATAATTTATGGTACTTACTTATTCTCAAACAACATGCAGTTAGACATTGGCACAAGCTGATACTAATGTAACAAACTTTAACACTTAACAAAATTTGAAAGATCACCAAGAATTTTGAAATGGTAACTAACTGTATTGTACACTAACTATGGATTAATAATTTTCCACATTTTTAAATCG